CCCGGCCGGGGGGTGGCACCGGGGGCCAAGGGCAGCCGCGCGCCCCGCCCGGCCCCGTGAAACGCGACGCTGCGCAGGGAACGGCCCGGGGCGGCGAGGGGCACGGGGCAGAGCCGCCGAGGGCTGTCCCCTGAAGCCGGCCACGTTGTAGCCGTATTGGGCTAGAGGAAAAGGCGATCAGGACTCGTAGCAGAGATGATCGTTTTTATTAGCCCAACAGGATTTTTTTGCAACAACAGCAACAACAAAAATTCTTTCATTGCAAGCTTTTGGGCACAAACACCCGTCTTCAGGCACTGGAGAAGAGACTGTAAAAGTTCTTCTGGGTAGAAATGAAAGTTCATATTCCATAGGAGTTCACAGGGGAGCCGATAGATGGGGAACTCCTCCGGGCAGGCAGTAACACTTTCCGCATGTCCATCCTCTTTGGCCCACTCCTTGCGTGAAAGCTCGTCCTAACACCGCTGCCCAGCATGGCATGGTCTTGAGAGGAAAGCGGCAGAAGCTGAATGCCACTTAAAAGCCAGCCACATTAAAAGAGCAAGGGAACATACGAAAAACAGATCCAAAGATCTCCGCGGCCTGAAACGGGAACGCCTGCCCTCAGCCTGCACATCTTCCACTTTTAGCTTCTGCAGAGAGGGCAGGCAGACTGTCTTTCAAGCCATTTGGCAAGAGCTTTCGGTTCCTCCTTTTAAAATGAAATACTTGTATCGAGCAAAATATATCGGGCTTCTGGATATAGCAAGAATAAAGACTAGTGCTGACCAGGATTCTTGCCAGCCCTTGCTTACATAAATCATTTATCCTCAAATGGAGGCAATGAAATTCTTATGCCATCCAAGGTCTTAACATGCACTGCTTCAAAGGCTTAACATCAGTCTCAAGCAAAAATGGAAGTATGAGCTCAGTGAATAAAGAGTAAGAATACATTAATGCATTACCTAAATATTAGCAAAAAATATTCCATACTGCTCCTGTAACGCTTTTCCAGTACAAAGTCTGGCTTTCCTCTCTCACAAGTAAAATCACATCGACTTCAATGGAGTTGCTTCCCATTTTGTATAATCCAGTATAATGGATTCCATTCCTGAGTGCAAAAGGGTAGGTTTTCCGTGCAGCAGCCCTGCACACTATCAGGACCCAGCTGTAGGGTTATGGCTAGAGACAGCATTACACCAATTACACTCAAGAAACCACCTCGCTGAGAAGAGAGAACACAGGGCGTCTGGAAAAGGACAGCAGTCCCAGGCAGGAGCACAAGAGGAAGTGCATAATTGGGAGGCGGTGCCATGGCAAACGGTCTCAACACTGCTGACCTTAAACTCTAGTCTAGGAAATCTCGGGAGACACAAATGTAGGTGCCAAGTCCTCTGTCAGTTCCTTGCCACAAACACTGGCAGTGTAAAAGTCCACTGAGACCGAACACGGGGGTGCCATAATTGTCCAGCCACAGTAAGATCAACCCATTCCAAGACAAGACGGCACAAACTCGGTCATGGATCCACAGGCAGGAGCACTCTGCAAACTCTCTCTGGCTCCCTTGAAGGTAGCTGGAGGGGGACTGTCCATAACACTCCTGAGGCAGGGACCATTAGGGGGTGAGGCTCCCTGGGAAGTGGGGAATGGAGGTCCCCAGTTGCGAGAAGGTAGCGGTGACTGTAGGGAGGGGAGGTTGATCCCTAGGGGGTTTTCACAGGAATTTTTGAGGGCTAGGTGGTAGCACAACCAAGGGGAAGGATTTTGTCAATTTTTGTTTTACCATACTTGGTTGTCAAAGCATTTGATCACTTCTTTGTATCCCACGTGTTCTTCCTTGTAAATAAACCCTTTTGTTTTTCTGTTACTTTAAGCCATTATTTCCGGGCAAAATAAATAACTTGGGGGTATCCATTCAACAAAATAGGGGAGTGATAAGCTGACACAAACCAGGGTCTATCTCTAGGAGCACTCTAGGGCTTTTTCCACAAACCCCATGCCACAAAAACCCTTATTCTAAGTCCAGGTTTCTTCCAATCCACTGCCACCCTAACCAGTCCACCTCTCAGGCTGTCTTCACAGGTAACAAAAGGGATCCTGGGGACTGGATCTTACCACTTTATCCCCAACCTAGCATGCAAGGTGTCAATGTTGAGCTCTCTTCACTATGAATCAGAGAAATGGAACAACTGTATGATTTATTCTGCCTCAGCAGACATATTTAGAACAAATAAAACAATCATTAACGTACAGTCTGGATGTTTATCTTGCTGGGATCATTTGACCCCAGCAGACTTCCTGCCTATGGCAGGGGGGCTGGACTCGATTTTGTGAGGTCCCTTCCAGTCTCTAATGTCTATGAAATCTATGAAACTGAATGCTTCATGTGGAGAAAGGAAAAGCATTGCAGCAAAAATCCAGTGAGTTGTATCTAGCACTGTCTTAAGCCTGCAAATAATGTGGAGCCCTATAATTTTAGTTTGCCTTTATCTTTCCTATTTAAGACAGAGAAGACTCATTTGTTACACCTTAGCTATAAATCAAGAAACCTGCAAATCACCATTATCATATCAATTCCCTTTCAAGTAACAAAATGACATTGGAAAGCTTGACAAATCTCTTCCCTGGTAGGATTGTTCCAAGAGCTACATATTGGTTTGAAAAACTGAAAATTTTCTGCTTAGCATACCTGTTGCTTTGATAATGTAAATACTTTATCTGAGATTCTAATTCCTTAGAAGACATAACTAGATTTATGGACCTCACATGAGCATGTGATGCTAAACTAGTAGTAACACCAGGGAACGTACAGATCATGGATTCTATTCAATCCACAACAAAGGGTGACAGCTTGTCAAAATGTTGCGGTGTGATATTGGACCACAGGGTAAAGCTGTAGATAGAACTAAAACAGTGAGACACAGTGTTCCCCTGCATCAGTTATAGCAAATCCAGATGAATAAAATACAGTACATCCATATATGTCAGAATCAAAAGAATAAAAACCAGTCTGTTAAAGACTAAGAACTGGAAGAAGTCTCCTGGTCCATCAAGTCCAGTCCCCAGAACTGACAGAATCCTTCGTACAAAAGAGTGCATGAGATGGTCTGGCCCAGCACATCTGAGTTCCAGGACCAACACATTTCAGTCAAACTCCAACCTCTAGTTGTTGTTAATGTCCAATATTTCAGAGGAAGGTGAGGAAGAACCCAGAAGCAAAATAATGCATTATTGGGGGTGGGGTGGATTTCCTGACCCCTGCAGTTGACCTGCAAAAGACCTCAAACATGGATTGCCAGATACCTCCTGCACAGAGATCGAGTTTCTTTGGTATCCCCATAATGGGGATACTACATACCTGAGACCATATATCACATGCTCTGATTATTGGTCAAGAACTCCTCTCTCCTATCATGCTGTATATTCCATAAACTTGTTAGTTTCTGTGTTGATGCAGTTCATTGACAGTTTCATTGTAAGTAATCAGCAGAGGAAAACAATCTGGATTTAGTCATCTCTAATATGAGGGCAATGGGAGTCCAAACAAGTAATTACATTAGTGGATCAAAATTGAAAATGATTATAACAATTCATTCTTAGATTTATTTAGATGTGTAGTTAATAGGAAAACAGCAGTAATATAATGTTGGCATAAATACTTTTTAGCTGGATCAGAAACCTGAATTCAGAACTTCAGGAAAGTTTGGGTCCAAAAAGCAATGGAAAAAAAAAAAAATCACAGAGTTTGACAAGTATTTCTCATTAGTTTAGAATATGAATTTCTATATTTAAATAAATCCTAATTTCTCTTTTTTAATATTTGCTCTGTTTTAGAGGAGGCAAGAGAACAGAAGTTGCTTATTAATAGTATTTCAGCTTAACATCATGTGGTACATGCTACCGGGCAGCCAACAGCCTGTTGCTTGGCTTTGCAGCTGCAGTGTTTTAGACATGCCAATATCTTGGCATGAAAGTGAAGGCTAAAGGCAACTTGGATTTCTTCTGATAAGAAAATGGGGAGTAGGGGTAGGGGGGCGCTAAACACAATGGAGAGCTAAGAGCTATTTAAGCAAAAGGACAATGCGGGCACAAAAATAAGTAAATATAAACAGACCATGAATTTTAGGCTGAAATTAAGGTTTGTAACCCTTCAAGGAATACATTTTGAAAGACAGCCTTTCAGTAGCATTTATATTCATACTGATCTAACTCATTTTAAGACAATCTAATAAATAAGACTGTATGGCATAGCTGTCCACAATAGAAGACTGACCTCAATAACCCAGGATGTTTTTTCTGGTCCCATGTTCCTTCTAACATTTTGGAAGGTTATTTATATCCGTCCTAGCTCGTGTACATGCAGG